TATAGGGACATGTGGACTTTGGAAACTTTAAAATGCTGTTAAAGGGGAGGGGTGTGATCACCAAGTTGGACTGGGAATTCCTCATTTCTAAGGGAAAGGAAGCAAGCAGGGAAAGGCCTGCAATTACGAGAATGCAGAGAAGTGTCTGTAGGGGATGGAGGGACCAGAAGACAACAAGGCACACAAATAGGCAGATGGACAAGATGAGAGGTCAGCTAAAGAAAAGACACAGTCGCACAGTCAAGGGTCCTATCCCGTTTAATTTGGGAAGCCTGGTTTCTGGCCAGGAACCTCCTGGCATAAGAGAGGTGACCCTCCTCTTCCCAAGACTCAAGGAGTGGTGCCTTTATTGAACTGTAACCCTGTGGTGCCAAAACCTTACTGGTCTCTGGAGGACTCCCTGACTCAGCTTATGGAACGGTCTGGATCCTGTTCCTCAATAAGGCAGCTATGTGGGACCCCAAATGTTACACCGGGTCCTTTGTGTGCCAAGAGGAAGGGAGGAGAATACACACACGAGTGGGCCTTTGAAACTGCAAAATGTTTTATTTCTAACACCACGTATGCTGAGTTGTGGATCAATCAATACCTCCAGACAAGAACTCTGGAGCCTTGTTTCTTCTGGAAGTCTCAAGAAGGAGCTGAAGTAGGATTTATAAGCATAAAAGCCACACGCCCACTGGCCAAGTTACAGTTAAGCTTTTACCAATCAGGATTCGGAATTAGAGACTTTCCAAAGCGTTCCATCATTGTTAACTGACATAGAATGTAAGTGTTCTTGTCCAGCCAATCCAATACACTTGTTCTTTCTGCTGTTAGGAACAGATACTGTTGTTTAGAGAGGGAGTTGGCCAGCTCCTGGAAAGTCCCTAGCACCCCCAGAAGAGCTAACTGGAAAGAAGAAAGCTCACTGGCCTTAACCCTTGTCTAATTCTGAGAGCTGGAGAAAGTTTTCTTGAGAGAATAGTCTACCATATAGTTATTCAAAACCAAATGGTCATTTCCTGAAAACATAGGCTGAGTAGGTTGTATTTTTAAGATTAGGAATACATGCAAACATACAACAATAGTAAAAGAAAAAAGCTCTGAACAATATTAAATGATCCAGGTGGAGGTTGTGTATGCCCTTATTGTCAGTTCTTTAGGCAGAGACAGGTAGATTTCTGATTTTGAGGCCAGTGTGGTCTACAGAGTGACTTCCAGGGAAACCATGGATACACAGAAAAATTCTATCTTGTAAAACTAACAAACAAACAAGCAGCAGCAGCAACAACAACCACCACTACAACAACAATTATGACATATTCCTTTGTCATGTCAAGGTTTAGTACCATCTACATTAAAAAATAAATGACTAGGATGGATTTGTGATATTTATAATTAAACTTACTAGGGGGATAGTGAGATGGTTCAATGGTTATGAACACCTTTTGTTTTGAAGGGACCAAGTTTCCATTCCTAAAACCTACGCTGTGGATATAAATTCTTTACATGTATAATTCTAGGATGCCAAGGATGTATAGTTATTCATGAAAGCAAACCACTCATATAAAATATGTAAATATAAATTAAAAATCTGAATATTAAATGAAAGTTAAAACAGAGATATAGATACATTGATAGATTATAGATAGATTAAAAAACAAAATATAAACTTCTTGAGTGAATTTACTAAGCAGATGAAAAGTCTATACAATGAAAACTTGATTGAAAGAAGTGGAAAAGAATGACTGTAAAATGAAAAATTGCTGAAGGAGCTGAGGGAGATGTGAACTAGGTCACAGAAAGATGCTTTACACAGATGAAAGGGACATAATATTGTGAAACACAAAATATTTCTGAAAGTGATTTCTATCATCAAATGAAGCTCTATGACATTTAATTCCCCACAACATACGTCACAAAAACTGAAAAAAGGAACCTAGAATTTACATTGACACACAAATTTCCTGGGTGCAGAACAATCCCAGGAAAATATTGAAGTGCTAGAGCTATCCCACTGTGACTCCAGATCAGCCCAATGCAGTGGAACAGCAGATCCAGAACTTGCACAACAGCAATGACCATGTGAATTCAATCAAACTACCACAAACACAGGTTGCAGACTAGACAGCCTCTTCAAACCACGGTACTGGGAAAAGTATCTATCTGCATATCAAAACATGAACATGGGACCAAGTCTCTTCCCATACAAGGAATGATGACTTTCATGTATGATTTGAATTGGTGAATCCTGCAAAGTAACACAAGAGAACAACACTTGATACAAGAGTAGTGTTTTGACAGAATTTTGCAGCAGAAATTTGACAAAAATTCAAAACATTCATGGAAATAGCAATAATTAAAAGTATGAAGAGACACCCTACATAGCAGATACATTTATTATCTGTTTATTTATAGTACAGTGGATAAAAACTCAAAATCTATGAAACATTGCAAGAGAAGTAAATGATAGTATAATTAATAAGTAAGCAAATGAATTGAATACAGCATGCTCAATAGCAGTTGAAATGGCCAATATGTACATATTAAAAAGCTCTCCATTATAGGTCATAAGATAATGTAAATTTTAGTATATAGAGATTCAAATTCTGCATAGAAAGTGTCCACAATTAAAGTACCAAACAATAACAAATGTACTATTTCAGTAATTTTCTGATATGTCAATGGATAATGTTTCTGAAGCAAATGATATAAACCAGGTATAGCAGTTTAAAAAAGGAGAAGAAAAAAGGCGAACAGAAAGAAGAAATTTTCTTTAAACATCTTGAGTATGGACAGTAGTAAAGACTCATGATCTCAATTATATTAGTGACAAAACCAACCAAGACAAAAGTATCAAAATTCAAAATAAAGAGTATTACCAAACAATAAAATGATCCATTAGATAGAAAGTCTTTGATGAACACATGTGCATGTCTCAAACTCAGAATGCAGACATTCACAGCAGACAGAAAATAGGAGACTACATAAAATGTGAAAACTGGCACATTGCCTCACATGCTTTTCAAACATGTGAAGACAATCTACAAGGAGGTTTGTCTTCTCTAAGACTCCAAACAATTTCTAGTGAAATCTATTTGCATATTTTACAGAAAGTAATCCTGAAAGTACCAATGAACAGAGCTGGAAAATACGAAGAGGATCACACCTAGAGGGGACCTCACAGTATATTACAATTACAGCAATAGCACTTGGAATTGTCATGACAACGAACAAGAGGAGATATCCATGGGAAGACAGGATTGACAGTGTTTAACTGTCTGCAAGTATAGTTCCTGATTCTTATCAAAACTCTGTTGGCATTATTTTCAGGAATGGCGAAATTAACACTAAAAGGTAGAGAATGTACCAGAATACCAAAAGCTCCAAAATTCTGAAAATAATATATATGCCTGGAGGTATTAATTTTCATCATTTTATAATATATTAAAATCACTGAAATGAAAACCATTTAATACTGGTAGATAGACCTGATCAGTGATGTACATGGAATAAGGGTATCATCACTTACATGCATAGTCAAGTAAAAATTTATTTGCCTCAGTGGATGGAACTAGAAAATATCATCCTGAGTGAAGTATCTCAGACCCCAAAAGACATACATGGTATGTCCTCAATTATAAGTGTATAGTATCCATAAAGTAGAAGATACCTATGATATATTCTACAAACGCAAAGAAGTGAGTCAAGAAGAAAGGTCCAGGAGAGGATGTTTGACTTTCACATAGAAGGGGGAATAAAATAGTCATAGGAAGCAGATGGAAGGAGGGAACTGGGCAGAAGAGAGGATAAAGAGAAGACTGGTGGGGGGGGTCATTCAGGATGAGGTGTGAGGAGAGATAGGAGAGAGGGCCAGAGGACTAGGAGAATGAATGGAAATCAGCAGCTGGTAGGGGAGTTGCATTCGAGCACCTCTAGGACATTCTAGAGACCTAGGATAGGGGGAGGTTTCCAGGAGTCTATGGGGGTGACATTAGCTGAGACCCATTGCAGCGGGGCTATAGACCCCAAAGAGGCCACCTCATGTAGCCAGGCAGGATCTCCAAAGGATAAGGACACCAACCCACTTACAAAATGTGGACCCAAAATTTGTACTGTCCACAAGAAGTTCAGGGACAAAGAAGGAACAGATACTGAGGGCATGGCCAACCAATAACTGGCCCAACTTGAGACCTAACGCATGGACCAGCATCAGTCCCTCACACTACTAGTGATACTCTGTTATGCTTGTACACAGGACACCTTCTAAGAGCGTCTCCTCCCAGCAGCTGACTGAAGCAGATGTAGAAACGCACAGCCAAACATTGGCTGGAGCTCTAGCATTCTAATGGAAGAGATGGGGGGAAGGATTGAGGACACCTACGGGGATAGGAACTCAACAGGAAAACCAACAGAATCAACTAACCTGGACCCTGGGTGGGGGCTCTCAGAGACTGAACCCCCAACCAAAGAACATACATGGGCTCGGCCTAGGCCCCTGCACATGTGCAGCAGATGAGCAGCTTAGTCTTCATGTGGGTCCCCCAACAACTGAAGTGGGGCTGTCTCTAAAGCTCTTGCCTATCTGTGGAATCAGTTCCTCCAACTGGGCTGCCTTGTCTGGCCTCAGTGGGAGGGGATACACCTAAACCTGCAGAGACTTGATTTGACAGGGCCAGAGGATATTGAGAGGTTTCTGCTCTCAGAGGAGAACAGGGGTGGGGCGGGGAGCAGCGGGGTGGTTGTTGTGGGGTGGGGGTTGGGGTGGGGTGGGGAGGATAGGAGGAGGAACTGTGTGAGGAGAAGACCAGGGATGGGAGGCAGCCATCAGGATGCAAAATGAACAAATAAATTAATGGAAAAATTTATTTGCCTCACAGTATCAATTCTTTTGTAGAAAGTCTTAACATCTCTAAAGTAGGATAATCCTGAAGAGAGTTTTGTCAGTGGAACTTTCCAGATTCTCTTCCACTTTCACTTGAGCCCCTTGCCATCCCTTCACCAATCCTCCAGCATACCTGGATCCTTAGTCACTTACTGTCTCCTCCCTCTCCACCTTCCAGGTCTCCGTGTTCAGTGAGCCCTGTACATGAGAAAGAGATCCTTCAGAAGGAACTCAGATTTCTAAACCCTGTCTCCAAACAACCAAGATAAAAAAGACAAAAAGGCATTATAGTGTAGGACAATATGATAAAGCATCATTTCAACGACTATGATCACTCACCTCTATGGGGAAAAGATTTGCAATCAGTTTTTTTTCTCCTGGTTCAAGAAAAACACTCTGTTCTATGCTCAGTAGATAAAGAGGATTATACAGTGATCTCCCAATTGTCATGCAGGGTCAGAATGCTAAAAATACTTGGAATGCATTGTCAGTTATCATAAGAAGAACCTCACTACCAATAATAGCTCAGTCAAAATTGAAGGGTAGAAATGGAACTGAATGATTAGGTTGAGAATATTATACATTAATTAATGAGGTTCTGAAATTATCATGGACCAAAAATGATGAAAATCTTATATTCTCAAAGGAAATCATAAGAAGAGAGACTATTTCATGAAAATTTTCTTTGTTCCTCTGAGGATTTCAGCTTACACTGTGAGATGTGAGACACAGTCACACACAGGTCACACACATCCAGTCTTGTTTTCCCAAGAACCCTGAAAAGGAACCATGGAGACAGCAAGCAAAGCATTCTCACCTACAGAAAGCAAACTGCTGTAATTCTGCAACATCCCTGTCTCTGTGCAAAGCCTTCCCAGCAGAGTCTTGACATTGCCTTCTTCCTGGGAGAAGTCCACAGTCACACCACTGGCTGTTAACAGACCACAAAATAAAAAACAACAGTTTAAACAATTTTGTTGGTGCAGTCATTTAATCTCAGACTTTGGGAGAAGGAAGTGAGCAGAACTGTGTGTGTTCCAGTGTTGTCTGGTGTACAATGTGAGCTCTGGGTTCCACAGAACAACACAGTGAGTTCAGGTCTCCAACACAGGAAACAGAAACAGACACATCCAAAAATAACGGTTTGTCACGTGTCTAAGAACAGAGTGTTTTTCTTGAACCAGGAGAAAAAAATGATTGCAAATATTTTCCCCATAGAGGTGAGTGATCATAGTCATTGAAATGATACTTTATCATATTGTCCTACACTATAATGCCATTTCTTTTTATCTTGGTTGTTTGGAGACAGGGTTTATCTATGTAGTGTATTCTCACCCAGTGAAAACAAAGGCCCAAATTCTTTGGTCAAATTAAGCAAGCTTTATTTTCTGTCTAAAAGGGCTATATCTGTAAAGTGGGCTTCGAAAATATAGCATGGAACATAGGAGAAAGTGGGCTTATATATCACCCCAAACTGGATGGCTAGGGGGTTTTCAATGGTTGGGGAATTTCCAGACGAATTTTGGTTAAGTAGGAACTTGGCAGAACATTTAGTCTTATCTGGGTATGTTTATGCTATGAGTCAAACTCCATAGGGTGGGGAACATGTCAAATTCCAGAGACAGGTTAAACCATGGTCAACTTGAAATTTGCAGCAAATATAAATCAACTTTTTCTGACCTTATCTAACAAAGTGGCCTTTATCCTTGAGATGAATTCAGGCAGTCTTGGCTGTCCTGAAACTTGCTGTGTAGACAAAACTGGCATCAGACTCAGAAATCTCCCTGCCTCTGCCTCCCCAGTGCTGAGATTAAAGGCATATGTGTCAACAATGCCTGGTTTGTCATACCTTTTTTTTAGCTGTGAAAATATTGTGATCTGATACCCACAAACAGCACACCATGCTTTCCAGACTCCAAGGAACTCACTAGGAACTCAAAGAAGACACATTTTCTTTTTCCTTTTCTTCCTTCTTTCCTTCCTTCCCTTTTCCCCGTTTATTTTGTTTTGAGACAGGTTCACAAGGTGTAGTTATGGGTGTCCTGAACTCACTCTGTCCACTAGGCTGGTCTGAAACTCACTGAGTTTCACCTGCTTCTGCCTCTAGAGTTCTAGAATCCAAGGTCTGTGCCACCAGGTCTGGCCAAGACAGTTATCAGATTCCTATATTTATATTAGAGTGGATATGTCTCAGGGGAAAAATTAATGATGGGTAAAAAGTTTACTTTTAAATGTTAATACTTACAACCGCACATGTAAAACTCGCAAAAAATTAAAACAAACAAACAAACAAACAAACAAAAAAACAAAACCTTTAGACTTCAATTTCGTTTGCAGCCACTCCCTTCCTGAGTAGTATCTAAAAGTTCTTGGGGCAAGCTAAATCGCCAGGTATGTCCCTGATGGAACACGAAAGTTATGAATGTAAACGTGTTTGCAAATATCAACAAATTAAAATATTCTACTAGAGTAGTCTAATAAGAACATTTTTCCACCAGAGAATCTATGAAAAAAATCAGGAATAGTCCATATCATATGATCGAAAATTTATGGACAAGGGAAGACATCCACAACAGGGTTTCAGAGCCGGCATCTTATGAACAGTAGAGAAACTGATCACACCCTTGTCCCTTTCGGACTGTTTCCCATCCCCGCAGCTCCTCTGACCTGGGAGGTTCCAGGGCCAATCTGCAGGACGCTGCTTACTGGTGACTTTGTAAAGACGCCCGGGCGCAGAGCCTGCGGCTTAACGGGGTTTTCGGGTCCCGGGAAACCAAGGCCTGTGTACGCTGCACACTCCACTGGCCGAGGAGCTTCTTCTGGGAATGGGCCTTAGCCGCTTCTTGCTTTGGCTCTCAGTACAACTTCCCTCCCTTAGCTGACTCAGTGTCTCAGCTTCCTTGCACGTCACTATTGTAACCACTCCCACTCTGAAACACTTTCTACATCCATCTATTGTCTAACATCCTTTCAGTCTCTGTTAAAGGGTGAGTGCCCCTCCCTGCGGAGACTGGCTCCTCCCACTCTGTGTCAGGCTGTCCTGCACCCGCTGTGCACAGCCTCCCTACACGCTTGCTTCCACTTTAGACCAGAACTGGATCTAGTTAGGGAGCTACACTCCATATCTGATCCCCATAGTGGGTTCTGAATCCTTCAGAAAAAAGACAGGAATTGTAACACTTCAACTAGACTATGAGCTACGTAGTTTCACCGAACAATAATGAGCTAAATCCAGAAGCCAAAGTCCTGTCCCCAACACAAAAAAATGAAAAGCCTAAACCAAATACCGCAATTGTGATTTGAAGAGACATTTCAGTATCTCAGATTTTGAAAAGAAATAGGCAGAAATCAGTGGTAAGTGCACTGCTACCAGCCCAGGGCAGAATTCATCCCGCGCTGTACCACTAGATAGGGGTCTTGTCATTTTACTAACTCAGAAATACGCTCGTGCTCTGTGATTCATGCTAAAGTTGATTTGAAAAAGTTTTGTTTAGGGAAACAGATTGCTGGTGGATGCAGAGATTTTGGCTGTCCCAGATGTAGAAAATGGTAAGGTATATGGTCCAAGCTCTAAAAAAGGTCAGTTACACTTCCCATCTGTAGCTCTGGGAACACCAAGGAAGAAAGGATCATTAGGAAATAAGAAAGGAAAGAGGGGGAAGGGCTAGACTCTACACAGCTACTGTAATCAGTAACCAACAGCAGCTGTCTTTATCTGCACTGGCCTCATAAGACCACAGTCAGTCTAGGAAAGGGAATGGCTCACTTTACCTCTCAGATGTCGGCTGTGATAGAATCAAGGAGAAGAATCACTGCTTTAGTTGTTACCCTGTGCTGAGCACATCAGACCCCAGCACATAGCTCCAAACCCACAGTCTCACAAATGGCTCTGGGTCATCTCAGTGGGTCCCAGGCAATATGATTAGAGATGAACACAGTAGAGTGCCTGTTGGTATTGTGGACCAGGATAGTGGAGAGGTAGGAGGTAAGAACGGGCAGTATTTCAGGCACGTGTGTGTGTGTGTGTGTTGGGAGTGAAATAGCCAATAACAAAGTTTTTAATAGCAAGTCAAACTAATTGTCAAGAAATCTTACTTTTTTTTTCATCAAAAAGGATTTTAAGTAGCTATGCTGTTAGTTTTTCTTTGAAGTTTTGTTAGAATCCTGTAAATTTGGTCCTGGGTTTGTCTCATGTGATGGTAGTGGGGGGGGCTTTTTTATTACTGCTTCAGTCTCATTGCTACTTGATGTTCTGTTTACATTATTTATTTTATGTTTTCTAAATGTAATATGTTGTTTGCACCAGGAAAATAATATATTTCAATTAGAGTTTCCAACTAAGTGGAATTGTTGAAAGAAGATCCACTTCATTACATGTGTCTATCAATTAGGTTACGCAGTTACCTTGGGTAAATTGTCAAGCCATGATGAGAAAAATTATGTGTAGTTGAGAAAAGTCATGTAAACCTTCAAGTCCAGCACTCAGGAGGCAGAAGTAAGGAGACTCCAAGTTCAGTGCTAGCCTTGTCTACAAAGTGAGTTTAGACACCAGGGAATACACAGAGAGACCCTGTATCAAATAAAGCAAACTCCTTCCTGAGGGATAGCTTTTATAATACCAGAAGCACAATGCAGGTTTCCTAAGGAGGGAGCCAACCAAGAAACAGTCCTACACAGGTATGATGCCTATGAACCACGTCAAAGATCACCATGGGACCAGGTCAGCATAATCCTAAAGGTGCAGTAGTAGCAAGGACACCTTGGTGGTAACCAACAGCACTGTAATTGCTCTTAAAACATTCTTATGAAAAGGAAGACACAAGGCTGGTCCTGAAAACATCACTGCCTACTCAGTGCTGGTGATGTCATGAATCTTGGAGAAGAAACTGCAACCACTTTACTAAACCTGCATAATGTCTCACCAAAATTTAAACATTGTTCTTTGTATCCACAAATAAGCATAGTCCTCACTCTTAATCATGAAACAATAGACAGAGACCACTACAAAAAACTCACAACTAATCAAATTATGGAGTCATGGAGACCATGCTAACTGGATAAATCTACAAAATACTCCCGCACCTAAGGGCCAAGGAACATTTTTGAAGAGGGTATAGAAGACTGTAAGAGCCAGAGGATGAGAGAGTATGCTCTAAGATTGTTTTTCCTAATAATTCAGAAGATACATCCCTAAAATCTCACCAACATGAACATCCAAAAAAGAGCTGAGTAAGGGCAAAAATAATGGACATGCCAAAGTGGATGGGAAAGATCCCACAAGACTTCCAGCCTATACAGAGAGTCACAGGCAACTGAGGAATACTATAATTTGTTATCCAACACCAAATATTTAGACTTGAAGACATATATACAAGTAACAGAATTGGTTTAGTTCAAATGAAAACCATCCAAACAAAAGGTTCTACAGATATCTGGGAAAAGCAAACTAGGACTTCAGTAAGCTTCCATTTCACCCTAGTTTGAATGGCCATTATCAAGAATCAAAATGATAACTAATGTGTCTGGAGCCATTTTTGCCTGTTTCTGTGAAAGCTTACCTTGTCACGCAGAGTCAAGGCAGGCCAGGGTCTACTGGCAGATTTCCTGGCCTGCTGTCAATAAGAGGGAATACATTTGAAGCTCAAGGCAAGGGGTTGAATGTTCTGTTCATCTTGGAGGAAGGGATAAGGAGGCCTCAGGATGGGAATAGATATCCAATGCATGTCAGCTGTAGTCTCTGGTGGCTTGTGACGTTGTTTCCCAAGATACTGTAAGGTATATAAAGTCTATGAGAATTAAACTCAGGACTGTCACAGCATTCACTGGACAGCCCTCACAATTTCTTTTATCTGAGCCTTCTTTTCCATCTTTACGAAAATCATCACTCCCCACTTCATGGAACTGTATGACCTTGTACCAGTAGGACCAGTTCACTAACATTGGCATAAATGTGGGAAGAGGGTCAAACACTGCTGTGAGAGTGAAAATTGCAGAATCACCTTTCAAAATCAAGTATCAGCTCTGAAAAAAAAAAAAAAAGAAAAAGAGAGAAAGAATTACTTTGGAGTTTGTTTCACCACCTTTCTTCCTTTTCTCCTAGGACTCAATTCCTTCCTTGCATTCAGATTTTATTTTAAAGCCTGGCTGTCTTACTGAAGAAGACTTGGCTTCAATATTGATTAATGGCCAAAGATAGGACAGACAAGTTGTAAATTCTTACAGATTGTAGCAACTTTTGCCAACGCACAAGGAAATGATCTCTAATTCTCTCATTTCTAAGACTTTACAACTTCCCACAATGAAATAATTTATCTCCATGATTTTTCTGTACTTTGCTCTTAATAGTTTAAGACCATTGTGTGAACGGTCTTTATCAGGATTGATTTGTACATTCATTGTGTATGGTTAAAGAATCTGTAAAATCTGTAACAAAATTGGTTTTAAAATTATATCAGAAGTCTTATAATTAAAACTGATACATAAGAATTTTAATTTGCTAAAATATCCTATACATGTGATTCAATTCTTATCTAGAATATACTGAAGATATAATTTAGATTCACCTCTTGGTCAGAAAAGCAGATACTTTAAACTGCAACCATGTTCTTCTCCATCTTGGCTGCTTACCTTCAAGATCTAAGCAGCCACATGACTGGCAGCTGTCTTTACTAAGGGTAAAGAATACATACCATGTGACTTCATCATCTAATATGACCATGTGGAATAAAGCAAGAATTACAAAACTTCTCAGTCTTACTCTGGTGAAATTTATCCTTCTCAGGTCTCTGGGCTTGATGACTAGGCTAAGGATAATGTTGTTTGCTTAACAGCAGCACCCAAAGCTTCAGATGCCTTCTCATTTCTCCTCCTAGTAAAAATCAGGCCTCAAGCCTCACTTTCCTAGGCCTCTAGCTGATAAAGACAAACTGCTTACCTTGCTGGACTCTCAGAAGAGATAAGCTCACAAAACAAATTTTAAAATAACTTTTCCGTATTCTTCTATTTAAAGGAACTTGCTTTATAATGACTGCTGTCACTAATCAACAACTTGTGTCTCATAGTAAATTACTGGGTTAAAAAGAAGTGGCATAAGGTGTATAAAAACAATGAAAAAATGCTTCAGATTTTGTTCCCTTGCTATGCTACTGTTGTATGAAGACTTCAAAAATTCAGTTTTAACAGTAAGCAATGTAGTTCTGATAAACTATTAATACAGCTCTAGTAAATCCCTGCTAACATTATCATAGTTTTAGGCTCAAGATTTTATCTTTAGGTGTTTTCTAAATACTTAAAAGTACTTCTCCTTGTGCTAAGGACATCTTCACACACCCAATCTTCTGGATAGAAGTATGGATGTTAAAGGCTTTCAATAAAAATAATTTTATAATAGCTTTTATTATGACTCAAAGGCATGAGTCTGTTGCTTTTTCTACAACATGGATTTCAGTAGAGATTACAAATAGTGGTTAACAGGGGCCAACTTCAGTGGATCTTCTTTCTGGTTCTGTCTTGAAGGTAGCCAAGGGGGAAGAGGGTTGGTGGGGGAAAAGACTTGTCTTGGGAGATATTTAGGGTTGCCTTCATTATAATAAAAGTTTACCTGTCTAAGTTACTTTGCAGTGGTAGCTGACCTGCTTGTATGAGTTCCTCAGAGGCCAGAAAGCTTCAGTTTCTTGCCTTTAGCACCTCACTGTAAAATAGTGGAGGAATTAAGTAAAGTAGCCTTTGTTCTATCACTGCATGAAGTGCTCAGCCTAACTCCCAGCCTGCTAGTTGAAGTCTCAGGAAGAAAAGGGGACACTTTGAAAAGTGATTTTGCTCCTTATTTCTAAGTTCTAGGTTTTCCCTGA